GATTCTGTCAGCTGATCAACAGGCGGCCTACTCTCTGCCTGCTGCTCTCACTAAGTCTTGGTTTGCCACCAACCGCCCACAGACCCAATCGCGGTTCCATCCTCCTACACAAATAAGACCCATACAGTTGCCTATGCAAACTATATTGCTCTCTTAGACTTCGTTAACCTCCTCTGTAACGTCCTCTCTGGCAGAGCTCCTGTGTGCGACACTGTTCTTCTGCTCTGTCATGATGTAAGGCTGCGTTTCAAGGCAGCGGAGTTTGTTATCTAGTCAGAGCTGATGGAATTATGGACACGGGGAAGCATTGCAATGATCCCAAACACACTTCCAATGCAGTAAAAGCGTATCTGCATATCTGGAGAACTATTCCTGAAGACTTCTTAAAGAAATGACCAGAAAGCTGCGTCAGAGAGTTCAGGCTGTGTTGAAGAATGAGTGTGCTCATACCATATATGGACTTTCAAGCTCATTAGAATTGTACAAAGTTTTGTTTTTCACATGTTTACATGTTTCAATGAATGCACCTATTTTACTGAAAGTGAAGAGGCTCATGACTTTTGCACAGTATTGCATTTATGACAAGAGTTTTAACGCACACAACAAAACTGCAGGTTTTTGCTCAGGTTTTGGAAAGTTTGCCTCTGTGCTGCTGTCACAGAGAAGAAGTGTGCGGTTCTTCTGCCTGTAGAAACCATCACACCGCTTCCTCGTACAGACTGGGTTAAATGTGTGTGTTAGCAGCATCTACACAAACAGAAGCTCAAGCCAGCAATCCCCAAGTTGGTTTGCTGCTCTCTGACACTGCGACCATCTAGTATTTTAAGCAGACTAAATATGGCTTTGAACTAAAAAGCTTTTATACCTGTTTGTTGTTTTATCTTAGAGAAAAACAATAACATTTAGTTTTTAAGACTAGAAATAGTTTCCCTCCAAAGTTTGTATAAAAACGCCCAAAAGCTGCAATAAAAATCTTTTTTTACTCATTGTTTCTAGAGCTTAATATGCAAACCCCAACTCTCCCACCCAAAACAACGATATTTATTGCACAATGAATGAACTTCATACTTTTGTTTAATAAATAAAACAAATGTTCTATCAGCTAATATTTTAGCTCTACTCTCTGATGACTCATGATTTCCTCTCAGTACAGTTTATTTACAGAAACGAGAGTCTGAGTCTGAGCGGTTTCCCTTCTGTTACCTTTACACACATCCAGACTGAAATGGGGAAGGTGATGATGATGAAGACGACCGACAGTAGGGTCAGCACCTTACCGACGGCCTCTACCACCACCCCGCCGCTACTCTGGCCTCCACCTGCAGAAGACGGAGAAGCAGCAGGATGGATGAAACTAAAATTCTATGATTTCCTTCAGGTTTAAAAGTATTCTGATTCTGATTCTGATAAACAGAACAAACAAAAAGATACTTGTTCTGTGCTGACCTGATCTACCTCATGACTTTGACTTGCCTTGTTTGTAACAATGAGCTCTCAGCCACACAGGCCTGCAGTGGTCCGTGATCCCCTGATCTGTGACTGTTAAGCTAATTGTGACATCATACAAGGGCAATTAAATATTTGTGATACTTGACAAGAGTCGGTTAAAAAATAAAATAAATAAAAACCAGGAAGCCTGAAAATCCGTTTTGACAGTAAAATGTCTTAAACAGATTCTGCTCTGAATCCTGAGGCAGACCTGAGTTTATCAATATGTTTGTTTTAATAGTTTTACAGTAATGGCGCTCTAAGACAGCGGTCTCCAACCTTTTTTGCGCCACGGACCGGTTTATGCCCGACAATATTTTCACGGACCGGTGTTGTGCCAAAAA